TGAGTAATTCTTTTATCTCTACTTGCCATCTCACTTGCCCAATTTAATCGACTCCCTTCAATTTGTATGTGAGAAATATCATCTGGGAGGCTTGCCTCCTTTGCAGAAATTATTAAAATGAGGCTATTCAGCATGAGAATACAAAATATTTTGAAAAGAGACAAGGGCAAGCTTTTAGTGTCCATGCAGCCTGATCTCATGTATATTTGGTGAGGCAGTAAGTGAGGATCACCAATTTATGTGCACAGAATGGAAACCTTAATGGTGCATTGTTTTAATTTGATTCTCCTGCCTTTGGGTTTAAAATACCCAAAGGAACCCTGTAAAGAGATATCTTTACAGCTGTTCAATCTTAACAGGTCTTCCCATGTACATGCTGTCCCCACAAACGTAATAAAATACATCTCCTTTCAAGAAAAATGTTGAGCTCCTTAATTTCCTCTTCCTCCTTGACTTTTTCTGTGCGGCAGCTTTCTGATCAGCCTCCAGGATCTTTGGCAGAGGTAGATGCATTTGCTATTGTAAAATGCTAATAAATGAAAGTACCATCTGTGATGCTGTGAAAGTCAAGTCTCTAGTCTGGTTCAAGTAAATGTAAGAATCTAGTTGGCTATTAGGGCAAATAACACACATCTTTATGCTGTTTGCATGCTTGGCCTCACTCAGGCTTATTCACTATTGCTGGTAAATATTGTTTGTTTTCCTCTGGATATTATCTCTCTCTATCTATCTATCTCTCTCTCAACGCTGGCAATTTTTACAACTTGTTAACATGAATATTTTTCTCCGAGTCAAAACCTTTTTAATTCATGTCATTCTCTCGTTTGTGTGCTCAAAGGGTGAAAGAAGCAGTTGGAAAAACAAGGAAAATAATAATTTCGGATTCTTATCTTGCTCATGTTTCTTCTTCAGTAAATGATTGAGCTGTTTATGCAATCATTGTTTCAGTTGATGCACATGGGGGCAGCCTTCTGTTGCAGCACTGAAAGCATCCCAAGGGAGACGACTAGAACACACTGAGATTCTTTGCCACTATAAATGAGCCCATTTTAATCTGAAATGACATATCTCAGTTGGTTGCTTCTGGTACTTGTCTGGTATATAGTTGGCAATATAAATATTTAGTAGCTTTAAGCATTGTGAATATTCCAGACTCAGACCTTCACCCAGAATAAGCAAAGAGAACACGTATGGCGCTCTTTTATACAACACAGTTATAGTGCTATGATTCTACTTTTGCTGCCACTGTTGCCTCCTGTGGACTGTAGTTGAGTCAGAGGCATCCGAGGATTCTCTGGCTGAGGATTCCAAAGACTCCTCTCTAAAATATCAATCCCAGGATCCCACATAGAATGTTGTCATGGCAGTTATAGTATAACTGTGTAGTGTGAAAGAGCCTATGATTGGGTTTTGATCTGCTTTTATTTGATAGCAGTGGGAATGCCTTGTTTTCTTTCTGGACTCATTAGGGACTTATCCTATAATTGTGCGTCTCAGGACACTGAATGACAGAGGTGCTCAGTGTTGTTTAGGAGAATAGACTAATGGCTCCCAGCACAGGATTCTAAATTCCTCAGCAAACTACAAATCCCCAGCATTCAAGGATCTATGATGGTTAACAATGGTATCGTACTGCTGTACACTCAGCCCTCCATATCCATGGATTTTTTTTATCCACAGATTCAACCATCCATAGCTTGGGGGAAAAAATTAAATGTAAATCCCAATAATCAAGTCTTAATTTTGCTATTTTATATAAGGGACACTATTTTACTATGCCATTGCATTTAATGGGACTTGAGTAGCCATGGATTT